AAGCTCTCCAGTCATTGTAGAGCCACCAACTCCTGATTTTTTCTAGGGTGCTCATCGAATCTGTGACAAACATGGCATGTTTATACGCTTCCATGCTGATCCATTCCAGCGCCTCTGTTATTGCCTTGACCTCCATTGCCATGCTCGACGTAGTGCACTCGTAAGCTCCAGACTGTTCTTTAATTATCCCCTCCCCTCACCAGGGCAATGCAACTGGCTGAAGTTGTCTTTAGGCCATTCCCAAAGGAGGGATATCATATATTCTTATTCACAGTAAAATTGTAAATGGGCTGATTAATCAATGTAATGCTCATACAACATAGGGGGAACTGCTGCTTTTCCTTTCCTCATCCTTACTGTTGTCATTTTCCCTCTACTTCTTTTGTATGTTTGTCACTCTCTTGTGAACTGGTGTTTCCGGGATACATTGATAGTCGAAGCAGACTTTGTGCTGTTAAGGCTAGAGGTGAGCATGAGCAGAGCAAGCATGATACTCGGTTTGGATTTCTCTGTTGACATCCACCCCTTGGCGCTCAGAGGACCTTGTGCACTTGCAGGCGCCGTAAAACCTTACTAAAACTAAACTATAAGTCTCTTCAACTTCATCTTGAAAATGGGCCATCTAGAACCAAATGAACAGATCATGGAACAGTCCTTTTTCCCAGCGTCTATGGCAAAATGCGTAATTAGGCTCCTTGCCGTTTTGCACAGAAGATGTGAGTTTGATTACAGAGTGGGTACGTTCAAATGTTACCGAGTTTTTCTCTCTTTCTGCTAGGATGCTTATCCCTCACATCTCTGTTTGGCCATAACATTAAAGATAGAGGCAACATTACATACTCTTTTTTTCTCGGTAAACTTCACGACACGTGGAACAAATCAGGTCATAACATAAGAACCAAAGATTCGAGGTGCAAAAGAGAGTAAATCAAAGAAAAGGAGAGGAGATCATGACGATAGCTGTTTGATAGGAAAGATGGAGCAGCACCAACCAATCAACCACTTGCTTACTCTTCCCATGTCCCGTCAAGTGCACTGGGCCAAGATCAGCCGACGCCACTCTTGTCTGACTGTGGCCACTTTCTCCAGCTGTGTCATGTCCAGCCCTTCTCAATTGGATTATTGCCTCATTTCTGCTCGTACTGCTATATTATAGCTTTCAGTTGGTCTACCTCTTCTTCTTTTTCTATGGGTCTCCGGTGGTACCATGTCGTATACGACAGTCTTGTCTCTGGCTTTCTCAAAAACCCCAACGTATATAGTCCTGGACTTCGAAAGACTGAGCGAGACATTTATAATCAGTGGAAAGAGGTATCATGCTTTATAATTTTTCTGTTCCTCTCCTACACAGACCTTTGAGATGAACAGCCCACCAACAAATTACTACGCCTCTCCAAGGGGCTACAACTCACGCACAGCTGCAGTGACCTCCCCTTCCGCCCTGACGTCACCGGCTCCAATGGCCTCCCCTGTCCAGGACAACCTGGCAGCTCTCCGACTTACGCCGACTCCGGCCGAGAACTACCGATGTCCTGTGTCCACTCCCTCCAACTTTGTCCAGCGGAGGGGGCGGGTGAGGCGGACGAGGCCGTTGGAGATTCTGGAGGATGTATACTCACAGGTAGTTTAGTTTAGTTTAGCTTTAATAAGGTTTTACAGCGCTCGCAACTGCAAAAGGTCATATGAGCGCCAAACAGGTAGTTTATGTACCATCTGATTCTGTCATTCATCAGCTCAATGTCGTGTCTAACTTTTATAATTGCGAGTTTTGATGATATAATGAGCTAATACTTGGAATTTAGCTTTGTGGACACAGATAGATACATAAAATTTCTAGGTTTGGTTTTGTACAATTTGTTATACGGAATTATAAACACGACATGTTTAATTTGAAGAAAAAAATGACATCAGTTTAAAATCTACAAATGTTGATTTTCGGCTGACATCTCCCTTTGTGGATATATAGAAGTAATTCATTTTGTCAGCACGCCTCACGCAACCGATGCTGAGCTCAACAAACTTTTTTCATGGTGCGCACTTTACGTAAAAGTGTTGAAAGCCCCTTTAAAGAGCTACTCTGATGAAGTTTTTAAAAAGTCATTGAAAAAGCGTTGTCAGACTTTAGAGCTTTAGGTTTAAAATTATTTGCCAGACCAAACCCTTGAGTTTTCTGATCAGCAGGAGCGAGGGTTCGAGGGAAGGTATATTATGCTGGTCCAGTCGAACCTGCACCGCCGACCACCTGTCCAAGACGACAACCTTCATCATCGACAAGGGGTGGTCGTATTGGACAGGTTCGAGTGTACTGGAAAAAAAAGACATCCGGATACGCAATTAGCCTGGGAGCTGCGCAGAATAATACTATGTGTCACAACACGGCGGAATCAGGCGCTCGTCAGTTTTTGGACATTTGGAGTTACTGATGTAATCTTAAAGCCTGTTCATTTGCCTCACTTTTGATTTTAAAAAATATCTGTCTATTTTGAATTGAAGGCGACGTATCTGCGATTGAAGGAGATGGGGGGCTGCCTGGAATCAATAAAATTAGCGAGCAACATGGCCGCCAAAGCGTTGCATTTTCCAAAGCTTGAGCGTCCTTGGTAACTGCACTTTTACTCTTGCTGTGCCTCTGGTGAACATTTTCCAGTAAAATCCACACAGAAATGTGTTTCAAGAATGGATGTGAAACGTGCTGAGCCAAAAAATAAATTGGATAAAAATTGTCAGCATACACTGACTCGTATGCAAGAAGCGAGCGAGGGAGTGTTTGGAAATAATACAACATGTGCCGTTGTATTCTGTCAAGTTGCAGACAAGGACAAGGGAAGTAATAAATAAATTAACCTTAAATGGGTAAAAGAATTTAATGATGTCCCTTAGTAGTCTTTCCTGTTGGAGAATTTTGCACCTCTCTCTCTCTCTCTCTCTCTCTCTCTCTCT